CCAACGGGTGCGCGAGCAGATCCTGCGCCTAGAGCCCATGCAATGAGAGTTCCTGAACGGTCCTGGGTCTAGGCCGCTAACCAGGAGGCCCGTGTCTTTTCTCATACTTTTCCAATGCGCACCCCACCGACACATCGATGCAACATGGAAGCACGCAGCGCGGCGGCGCGCCGGGGCCATCAGGCGGGGTAGCAACCGCAACCTGGACGTTTTAGGGTTCTCGATACTCTAGGGGATACGCAAAGGCAAGCTGGCGCACGCAAGGGTAGCGACAAAGTTATTCAAAGTGTTAGACACATCAACGATCGCTTGTGAATGAGGCTTGAAATGAAGGAGGCCCAAGAAGTGAATATCATAGCGAACAGGAGGGGCACCGACTCCATGGCCGCGGCACCGGGCTAGAGCATTGCAAGGAACGCCAGCATGTCAACCTCTGATTCAGCCAGCGCGAGCCCGCGACAGAATTAACGATCGATTGCACGGGCGAGAGAGGTCATACTTGTCTCCCTCGCGGTGCCCCATAGCGAAACAGGCATGCCAAGCGGGGCAACGGCTTTCGCAAAGCCCCCTGCGCCTGAAAACAAATCTAAAATCACTAGTGGGTCGGGCAGACTGGCAGCACGGGCGAGGGCAGGCTGCGGCGCGACTGGCTCAGGAGCACCGCGCAGGCCTCGGCGCGACGGCGCTGCGCGGCGGGCAACTTGTGGAGCTGCCCCGGCAGCCGTCCGCCAACTTGTGGAGCCGCCCGGCAGCCGCGCGACTTCCAGCGGCCCCGGCGGCGGATCTGCCCCAGGTCGCGGAGCCCAGCGTAGTCGGGGCTCGGGCCCGAGTGGCGCAGCTGGTAGACGTGGCAGGCCCCCAGCTTCGAGAGCCCCAGCGCGCGCGTGGCCTTCTTCCAGAAATTGGCCACCTGGAGCTGGGAGACCGGGAAGAGGGGCGCCCAGGGCGGGGCGCCTCCGCGGCCTCCAGCCGCCGCCACCCCCATCAGGCCCTGGCCCAAGCCGACGTGCCTCTCCAGGTCCAGCCGCACCGCCGCGTCGCACTCGCCGGCCTTGGACACCCCCCCGACCTCCTGCGCGCGCAACCTCACAGAAAGGAACCGATGCGCCCCCGATGCCAAGGCGGCGGGCGGCACAACGTCCTGCAGTCGCAACCAGGGATCTCTCCTGGGCGGCCGTAGATCTCGAAGAGGAGCCAGATCGCGTACGCCTCCAGCGCGCTGCGCTGACGGGACAAACTGTTCACGACTATGGCCACGACCTCGTAGGGCAGCGCCATGCGACTGTGGGGCGGCGCCAGGTTGCGCCAACCACTGGCCGCCTGCTTGGCGAGCGGCAGGTCGCGTGGGCCCGTCTCGGCAAAGCGCGGATCCCGCCGCGCCACCGCGCGATCATGCGGTTGGCGAACGTCTGGTGATAGTCCTGCTCGAACAGCACGTTGATGGAATCGCGCACGGCGCGGTCCATCTGCGTCGGCTCGGCCGTGGCTCTGCGGCGCCGGCTGGCCCGCACGTCGAAGCCCGCCAGCGCGTTGGCGCAGGCCTGGCGGCCCAAGGCCGTCCTCGCTGACGCGGCGTTCAACGCGGGCGCCCCCATCGGCGGCTGGATCAACCGCGCCCGCTGCTGGGGAGCGAGCTGAGCGCTCGAGCCCCGGTGGCTCCCGGGAGAAGCCCGGAGGACAGGCAAGGCCGCCATGCCATGTCCGAGCTGGGCTCGCGAGCCGAGCGCGCGAGCAAGGGTGCCGCCGCCTGCTCGCTCAGCGCTGCCCCAGTTCGCTTGCGCGGATAGCCCTGGAGGAGCGCCGGCGCCATGTCTGCTTGCAGCGCACTGATGACAAGGTGGAGGGCTGTCCACAACATATGGAAAGATATGAAGAACACTTGGGCCGTGACGAGGCCGGCGACGGCAAGCACAACTGACGCCCGAGACATCCTGGCATCCCCCCAACTCCAAGTCGGCCCGCGACAAGGGCTCCTCTTCGCTCCGCGGTGGTGGCGCTTGAGGGGCTCTTCGTGAACCGCATTTGCGCGCAGACGCGCGCCCCGTCCGCGCCGCCTCTGATCGCACCGTGCGCGGCGCTCATCTGCGCCCCCGCCCCGCGCGGCAGGTGCTCTGCGATGTCGTGAACGTGTTCTGTTGTCTACCAGTAGGGGCTCCTCAAGGGACTCATGCTCGGAGGACTTCGCGGGGCCTTCCTTCAATGCAAATGCAGGCGGCAGGCTGGGGCCCCCACGGACACTCAACGGGCCATCTGCCACGCTGCACGCGGACGGAATCCATCTTACACAGAAAGAACTTCCGGTAGCAGGAGAGAGAGAGAGAGAGAGAGAGAAAAAAAAAAAGAGAAAGAGAAAGAGAAAGAGAGGAGAGAAACAAAATATATATAGAGAGAGAGGGAGAGAGAGAGAGAGAGAGAGAGGAGAGAGAGAGAGAGAGAGAGAGAGAGAGAGAGAGAAAAAAAAAAAAAAAAAAAAAAAAAAAAAAAAAAAAAAAAAAAAAAAAAAAAAAAGGAGAGAGAGAGAGAGAGAGAGAGAGAGAGAGAGAGAGAGAGAGAGAGAGAGAGAGAGAGAGAGAGAGAGAGAGAGAGAGAGAGAGAGAGAGAGAGAGAGAGAGAGAGAGAGAGAGAGAGAGAGAGAGAGAGAGAGAGAGAGAGAGAGAGAGAGAGAGAGAGAGAGAGAGAGAGAGAGAGAGAGAGAGAGAGAGAGAGAGAGAGAGAGAGAGAGAGAGAGAGAGAGAGAGAGAGAGAGAGAGAGAGAGAGAGAGAGAGAGAGAGAGAGAGAGAGAGAGAGAGAGAGCGCCCCAATGCGACGCATAATGCCCAGCATGGCGCGGCTGCGCGCTCGCATCCTGGAGGCCGCCGAGACCAACGCAAGAGAGCCCCCCAAGACGAGCAATCTCTTCCCATGGCTCCGAGCGGCTCGAAGGGCATGACGGACATGATGTAGAACAGCGCGAGCCTCCAGAACAGGCGCCCCTTCGAGGCGACCCCACTGCCGACGCCCCGCGATGCTCCACTGCATATGTTCCAAGCTTTTCGACGCCCCAGTGAAAGCAAGTAAATGCCGCCCCACGGGCGGGCCGACGGGCTGCCGGTCGCCTGCCAGGCAGGCGGGGCCGCACGAGTCCGCGACGACCCCCCGGCCGCAGGCTGCGGCGCCGTCGGTCAGGCACCCGGCGGCGCGAGCGCGGCGTCGAGGAGGCAAGCGCTCAGCCCTGCCATTGCGCCACCTCTCGCTATAGCAACCGACCTCCCGAACAGCGCCAGCATCCCAGTCAGCCGCGCAGGCGCCGAACCCCCAAGAGGAGGCGCCCGCGCAGCCGACGGTCGGGGGCCACTGAGCATGGAGATCACGCCAGAGTAAAGGGGCGACGCCATCTCAGGCCATGAGCTCCTACCTGGCCCCAGATTACAGAGGCGCATCCTGGTGGTAGCACTTCTGGACAAAGCGGAAGCGCGACTCAAGGATGCTGAGCCCCCCCCCCCCCCCCTACGCGCGAGAGTCGCAAAGATGATGTGGCCCAGCGCCCGCTCGATCGAGGTTGGGCCCACTAGCGCGCCCGCGCCGAAGTAGGCCACGAACAGCGAATCGCACCCGCCACAATCTCGAAGCCGAAGCCGAGTGTAAACATGAGCGACCAGCCGAGGACAGAGCACTCGCCCTCGTTGTCACCGACGTGGCCCTCGTGGGTCACGACCAGGCCGCGCCGCTTCAGCTCCGTCATCACTCGGACCACAGCCCCCCGCGCGGCCTCGGCATCATAGCCACTGCTGACAAAGTTGCCGACGTACTCCAGATGGCAAGCGGGGCTCAGAGCGGGCGGCGGGCGGCCATCTCGAAGTCGAGACGCGTCGTCGCAGCCCGCCGCCTCGGCCGCCCGCCCCATCGCGGACTGGCACCACCGCGCGGCCCAGGGCCAGCCCATCGGCGCCGCCCTGAGCCGCGGGAAGCTGGGTGGAAGCCTCCACGCTGCTGCCCCCCAGGTGGGCGATGCCCAAGGCGCCCGCGCGCGCGGGCCTGAGGGCGAAGTGCGAGCGAAGCTGCTCCGGCAACTCCAGGTGGTAGAAAGCATCTTTCAGGTCGGCGCCCTCCACGGTGAGCAGATCATCGCTGTCGGCCATCTCCAGCGCGCCGAGAGCGTCGCCCGTCGCCAGCCGAACTCCGAGGGGCTCGGCGAACCTCTCGTTGGAACGGCGACAGTCCGCCACCGTGCGGAGGCGGCCACCCTTTCTCTCGACACAAAAGGTCTCGACCCTGACACCATCCTCCAAGTGGAAGTCGACCAGGTGCCATGCAGAAACTGAACAAAATTTGACCAGCGCCGCTGGTCTCGCAAAAGCGGGTCGGAGCAAGGTACTGGCACAGAGAATTGCCGCAATCGCGCAGCAGCCTGGCCCGGATCAAGCACACTCCGCAGGACGAGCTGTTCGACCTCGGCTTGCCCGCCCTCCCCCCGCGCGTCCGCCAGCGGCACGGGCGCGGAACTGGCGCCAGGCAGAGCACGGAGCGCGGGGTCGTAGCTCCCGAGAGGCGACTGCTCGACAGCGCAGGCGCCCCCCGCCACGCGAAGCTGCACAAACGCTTCTGCGGGAGAAAAAGACGCGGGCGGAAGACCACGATACCGCGCAGACTCGTCGAAGTGGACGTGGAACATACGCCGAGCGAGAGACGGGCCCACGCACCGTGCACGTCGGTCACGACCTCCCTTGAGAGAAGGGCCGCGAAGCCAATTGAGTGCGTCCACCGCGCAGATCACATCGTTACAGACAGCCCTCCTGTGCCCCAGCCTTCCCCGCGTGCCTCTAGCGAGCCCCCTAGCGGAAGCCTTATCCAGAGGCGCAACAGCGAACGGGTACGGAAGCGGAAGAATGTCCCAGGGCCGACGTCTGCCAAAATCGTGGGCATCTTGAGCATGGGCAGGGCCACGGCGACCAGCAGAATGGAGGAGAACCGCCACTGTGCTGGCCCGCCTTCCGAGGCCAGCACGAGCGCCGCGATCAACCATTCTTGTGCCTGGACTCCCGCTCCTCGCGGGCCAGGCGCAGGCTCTCGTGCAACTTGGCCTCCTTCTCGACGTCCTTGCGAACGTGTTCGGTCCAATCAAGCGACACCACCACGGAGGAAGTCGATCTGGACACCCCCGAGAAAGCCGCCTGTTCCTCCAGACTCATATTGCCACCGACGCCCTTGCTCTCGGCGTCCTTCGCTTTGTCCCAGTGCGCAAACTCGATGGTCTGGAGCCTCCTGAACTTCATCTCAATACAGATCAGGTTCGTGCCGTCCAGGAGGTCCTGGCAGGTGGTTGCTTTGCTCTGCTGGCACAGCTAGTAGTGCTCCTGCACCCCCCAGCCCGTAGAGCCGAGCCTGCAGATCTGACGGAAGTGCTCGTGATGTCCCTCGATGCCGAGACCCTCCCGCTGCAAGTAGTTCATGCACCAGGCGGCGGCCCGCGGCCCAGGAAGCGACCAGTCCGAACCGTAGTCCTTCTGGCGAGTCATCTCCAGCATCTTGTGCCACTGGACGTCTCGGCGGCCTTGCGCGCCCCGAACGATAGGAAGGATCCTGGCGTCCGCATCCACTGCCTTCCGGAGGAAGGACTCGAGCGCAGCCGCGGGCACCAGCTCCACGAAGATGCCCTGGCCGCTGGGCAGCACATGTATGTCGCGATCCTGGACGCGAGCCGCGGTGGGTACATGGCCAGGCACCTCATCTCCGATGCGGAAGCCGCCCTTGCAGGCAGCAGCACGCCACGCCCCGACATCATCAGCGCCGCCGCTGGCAGCCCCCAAAGGCGCCGCGCCGCGCAGCAGCCCTACCGCCGGGCCCACTGGCGCCACGGCCACCACCGCGGCGCCGCCGCCCGGCCCCACCAGCGCCCGCAATTTGGTGATCAGCACGAGGTTGCCGACCGCCGCCGCGCGCGCGGCACTCCGCGACCGCGATCTGCTCCGCCTCCGCCGTCAGCTGGGCCAGCTCCGCGTCGGTCGGCTGCGCCCGGAACCTGTACACCTGGCTCGCTGCGATCCCCAGAGGCGGTGGGTCGAACGACCCGAAGCGCGCGGCCTGCACGTCCTGGTTGTTGGCGAGGGCAACGATGTACAACTCGCCGTCGGCCGTGTAGATCACGTGGTCTGCCACGGACAAAGCCACCCGGCCCAGATTCGAGTGCTGGTGCCCCACCACCTCGCCGGCGTAGAAGACGTATGCCCACCGAGTCGTCACTGCCGCCATCGCCGTGACCAGCAAGAGCGCGAACCCGAGGACGGCCGTCGCAACGAGCGGCTGCACAGAAGCAGCCCAGGCTAGCGGCGGCGACCAGAACGCCGATCGCACCACCCAGCAGCCCCACGGACAGCGCGCGCAGCTCGGCGCTGACGTCCCTAGCGACCGCCGCGGTCCCCCTGCGCCGCCTCTGGCGCCGGCGGCGCCGGCGCTGGGAGAGGCGCCGCGCAGGCGTCGCACGCCGGGCAGGCGGGCGTCGGGCACGGCGGTGGCGAGGGGCACACCGCTAGGGCGACCTCCGCGCACGGCAGGATCGCGGGGCACTGCAGCGAGCACCCAGGGCAAGGAGCCGGCGCCCCGCAAGCCAGGGAGCAGGTGGGACACGGAGGGCAAGATAGCATCTGCGGACACCTGGTGAGGTACGAGACCACTCCCGAGAAAGCGTGGTCTGTGAGCCTCTCCCACAGACTCGAGACTTGAGCGCCATCAAACGGCGGCGACCCTCAAGGGATCATCGGAAACCCGTGAAATCACGACAAACAATCAATTCGCTCTGAACCGAGTGCTATGGAACAACAGCATTCCTTCTGCAAACTTATTTTGTCCACCTACGCCTCGCCTAGACTTCACCTCACGATATAAAGTACCCGCAGAAACCTTAAACAAAAACATGGGGGATGCTTTTGCGTCTGCCGCCTCCTGCCAACCTTGCCACGTCGCTTGGCGGCGCAAGCCACTGGAGTAGGGCGAGGGGGGTCCTTGGAAACTGCTGAAAAGTCTTTTGGGGAAAACAGGAGGGCGCAGGCTTTCTAGGAGCCCCCTCTGCCTTCCCAGAAGGTCACTGCCATCGCGCCACCCCGTTTTGCGCGCCGCCGAATCACCCTGACACCACGGCTAATTTGATGTGGCAAGCTCCAAGAAATCCGAGTAGAAGAACTAAAGGGCGACTATGAATAACCTTTCGGAGGTCCGCACTGATTCCTGGGGTCAGCGCTGGGCACCCCTCCCCACACCTCTTCCCCGGCGCGCGTAGCGCGCCAGGGGCAGCGCCGCACGTGCTGCCAGGAAAGTGGGGACCTCCGAAAGCTTATGCTTCTGTCGCTCTTTTAGAGGCCTCCTGAAAGGGACCAGAGAAATGGGGTCGGAGATCGCACCGCATCGCCGATGCGTCGGCGATGCGTCTCTAACGTCGGGGTGGATGAGATCGAGCTCTGGGTCGCACCGAATCGCCGATCATCAACTCCGGCCCCATTTGGGAGTCTGGATCTTTTCGTCTTTGACAAGGGACGCCAGCGATGATCTCTCAAGGGGTGGCCTTGTTATAATTAATCACCTCCGCAGGCTGCCGCCAGGACGAGGCAGACATCGGTTCACTTCCGGCGGGGGTCCGCAGAGGGCTCGGCGACGAGTCCCTTTCAAGGGTTGGCCACACCCCGACATCCGACGTCGTGAAGAGGCCACGACGCCGTGGAGACCTGCGTCAGCGAGCTCCCGACTTCAGTCAGCGTGCCTGACCTCACGAGCCGGGGTCCATCCGTGAGGGGGCCCCCCGGGGCCAGGAGCGGAGCGAAGAGGCCCACCACGACCTGCGGACACGACGCCAGGGTGCCGGGGCGCGAGCGCGAGCGCAGCAGCACGGGCGGTCCTGTCGCCGGGCGACCGAGCCGAACGGGCCGCAGCCGCCAGGCAGCTGAGCTGCGGCGAACCCTGGCGCTGGCGCCACGGGCGGTGGCGGCGGCGCGGGACCTCGCAGGGGAGGCGCGGGGGCTGGTCGCGCTGGGAAGGGTCGAGCAGGGAGGGGCACCTCGCACTTTAATCGAGGACGAAACATTGGGCACTGAGTAGGCGGGATTGTATCGATTTCACTCCTCCACATATGGTTTGACAGAAACAGAGACAGAGAGAGAGAGAGGAAATATGACAGACACACACACGCATACACTCAATCACAAACAATTAGGGTAGCGAGAGGGCAGCGGCAGGACAATGAAAGCCTGCCGACTGTCGTCTCCATACTGCAACCAAATGCTTCTGAATTCAAAAGCATTCAAGGGGCAACGAATCGACATGGTACAAGGAACCGTCTGGATGCAGGTCGTCAAAAGCCTGAAGTTCGAAACAGGCTCACGGCACGAGAGCATCTTCAATACAAGTGGATCTGATCACGCTCGCTACGGAAGGCTTTCGCATCCACATGCGCGCGAGGAGATGCTGGTATGAAATAAACACCGATCGAATAATTACCCTGGCCAAACCTGCGACCAACCCTAATCAACACTCCAGCCCCCTTGAAAACCTTTCCAGGAAATCCCTCCAGCCAACCCTGATCAGGGTAATTATTTCCATCGGGCACGGGCTACAGACCTGGATCCCGCAGCGGATGACCTGCATATTGGTCGGTATCATGGTACCGAGCCTGAACGTCGTAGAAAGGGGGCGCCCTCGAGCGGTCTGTTTCTTGTCCAGACCCACTGAGGGACGGGCGTACCTCTATCCACTTGTCTTCCGCCGAAGAACAGGACGCATTGAAACTGACTTTTGCCGAATCGCATGTGCAGTCCGTGTGCAACAACACTTCATCGCTCATACACATGATGATCGAGGCCTTGCTGAGGACTTCCTCACCCTCCTCTTCATTCTCCTGGCCCCTCGGACGGCAGGGGCGCCACCCAGGGCATAAAAGCAGTCTCCTTGCGCAGCCATCCGGCCCGCTGAAGCCGCCACCTGGCCCGCTGAAGCCGCCACCCAGCCCGTCGAAGCTGCCAAGCTGGTCACCCGAGCGAAAGGGTACTGGCGGCTGCTTCGGCACCGTGCGTTCGTAGAAGTAGCTGTCCTGCCTCTCTCGATGACATGGATACGGAGGTGGGGCGGCAGCTTCTGGAAAGCTGTGGCTTGGCTGAGGGGGCAGCCAACTACCTCAGTGGTCTCTGGGCGAGCTCGCGGCAGGCAGTGGGAACAGAGCGTCTGCATCAGCAGATAAGCTCAGAGTTGGCTCTGCCAGGCGGTGTCGAACTCGCCTGCTGCTGGAAGCATGTTCCCTCTTAAACTCAGCGATTCTACAAAACTTGCGAAGGCAAACTCATCTAAGAAGCGAGCAAGGGGTCCTTACTCTTTCCAGGGCGCCACGACCACGTCCAAGCGAATGTGAACCTCAGGCACTGGACTACTCGAAGCCTAAAGTGAAGTTCTTTGTGCACGACACAATCCGATGCGTGAGTCGTAGCCTTCGAAACCCAAAGGGGCCACACTGCGGTTCCAAGAAACGCCGGACACTCCTCCAAAAGCCGAACTGGATCCCCACGCACACAGTGGTCCAGACGTGCACGTACAAGGACACCCGTAAATTAGTCTTGCGAAGGACCCAACCGTATAAAAAGGTGAATACCACAAGGCACGTGGTACGAAGGATGGTGATCTCCCGATTGGCCCACACGATGTGACATTACACGTAATGATACTTTCTCGATGTGGGCTATGCACATCGGATCACGGCGTGTATGGGTCACAGGAGGACCCCCCTGGGAGACACGGATGGCTGGAAAAGGGGGCCCCCCACTGAGGACACAAACACATTACTGGGGTGTGCCGTGGAGTACGGATGCGCAGGCCATCCAACTGGAAGTAGAGAATAAGCTCCTCCAAACTCTTGTCCTACTCGTGGCCGACCACGTCAGAGCGGGCACATGCGCATGGCTTGAGCATCTCCAGCCCGCCGTCTGGAGGGCACAAGCAGTCAGCGGCTTCGTTTGGCTCCCATTGAGATCTCTTGAGTGCTGCCTGGTGGTCAGCAACGTTGACTTCAATCAATGCACATTGGACGATCGCCTCGCTGGGCACCAAAGGACGCGCTCCCACTAGGATTCTCGCCACCCGTCTCCCAAAGATGCACCAGTACCTGACAGCTGTGGGCGGAGGACGGTATTGTCACGACAAGGGAATGCATTGCACTCTTCTGGGCAAGTATGAAGACAGTCAAACTTCAAAACGAGCTCTGAACAAAGACTTACCCAACCGTGGGCGCGCAGCAATAGCAAAACCAATGCAGGAGGCAGTACATCGTGCATAGTCCCCCGACCCTACCGACGAGTTGCCACCTCCCCCTACCTCGGATGTGGTCGCTGAGGCGGGGGAGGATCTCACAGCGTGTTAGGTGAAGTTATCCGAAGATTTCTGGGAGGCTCCCGACTTCGCTCGGACCGCGGCTTCCAGGAAACGGGGTGACCCAGTGGCTGAGCGTTGGTCCCCCCCCGCCCTCGCCTCCTGCCGGCTCCCCCCCCCCTCCCCCGCCGAGGAATCTGCCCTCCCACCGCCGCAGGACACGGCGCAGGAGCCCGACGCCCATGCAGGCGTAGGGCTCCACTCCCAGCCCGACGAGCCCGGGCGCAGTCTGTTTTCGCCCCAGAGGACGGGGCTCCTTCTTCCTTTTTCCTCTCTCTTCCCCCGCCCCGTCCTCACAGCTGACCAGATGGCCAGAATTACAGCCAACCGTGCCGCAGCTCGTGAAAGACGCCACAGGCGCGTCGCCCCATGGCCTGGTCAGCTCGCATGTCATCTCTGAGAGCTCTGGTTATTGCCCTGGGATGACCTCGCCCTCGGTACACGCCCAGAAGTTTTTCACAGAAGAACTGACTAGAGTTGAGCACCTCCTCACGACACTGCCATCGTCCGCCGCGGCTCCTCCTCCTCCTCCTCCTCCTCCTCCTCCTCCTCCTCCTCCTCTACCTTCTCCTCCTCCTCCTCCTCCTCCTCCTCCTCCTCCTCCTGCTTCTCCTCCGCGTCCTCCTCCTCCTCCTCCTCCTCATCAAGCTCTTCCTCCTCCGCCACTTCCTCTTCGGTCCATATCCACCTCCTTCTCCTCCCTCCCTCAATCCCCCTTTCTTTCCTCTCCCCCTTCCCCCATCCCTCCCTGGAACGACCCTGCGCACCGGCACCTCGCCCCTCGCGCGACCCTCGCGCCCCTGCGCGCCCACGGGCACACTCGGCAATTCGCCGGCGACACCGCCGCCGCCCCAGCGCTCGGCCCCGCCGCTGGGCGGGCGCGCAGGCTGAGCGGCGCGGCCGACCACCCCAGAAGCGCTAGCACGGCGCAGGACCGCCAGGGCCGCAAGGGCTTCCCCTGCCGACTCTGAGGGCGGCGGCGGCCTCGACGTCGGCACGCAGCACACCGCAGGCGGATCGCAGCGACACACGGCGCGCCAAGAACTGGGGCGGAGCCCGCTGTGCTCGCAGGACTCCATGGGAAGCGCGGAGGGGAGCTGCAGCGCCCTGGCGCCGAGGCGCCCGCCGGGCTCGAGGAGAAAGGAAGCACAAACACACACACACACACACACACACACACACACACACGCACGCACGCACACACACACACACACAGACACACAGACATAGCAAGCAGCAAGAAAACGATCAGCAGTGGCAAAGAACGGCGCAACGGCCTCGCCGCAGCGGACCCCCTTGTCCGACTCGCCGCCGCGAGCGGACTGCCCTGGGCGGCTCGTGCGGCCGCGAGAGCTCGGCCACGAAGAACGACAGCACCGTCAAGCCGACCAGGAAGCGGCGCCTGGATGCCGACCACCACGTGACGGGGTCCATGCACAATGCGCTCGTGAATCTCGCCCTCCCTCCCTCACTCCCCGCCGCCTCCTCCCCGTCTCTACCTTGTACCTCCCTCCTCTGCTCCCGCCCCCGCCTCCTCTTTCTCCTCCTCCTCCTCCTCCTCCTCCTCCTCCTCCTCCCCTCCTCCTCTTCGAATTCCTCCTCCTCCTCCTCCTCCTGTTGCTCCGACTCCTCCTCCTCATCCTCCTCCTCAACATTATCCTCCTTTATCCCCCTTCGCTATGAATAGCTAATCCCTGTCGCACTCCTTTGCAACAGCTTCACGGATGGAGGGGGGTCGTTCTCAAAATGTCGTCCTCCCTTAAGAGCCGCGCAAAGTCGTCTTAAACGTTTGCAACAGCTTCACGGATGGAAGGGGGTCACAAAATCTGGCTCTCGCCTTAGCGCCGCGCACCTTCGTCTTAAAAAATCACACCAGCTTCACGGATGGAGCACGGCTTGGTTTCAAAAATGTGGCTATCGCCTGAGCACCGTGCACATTCGCCTGACAAGGTTTGCAACAGGTTCGCGAATGAAGCACGGCTCGTTTTCAAAATGTGTTTATCGCTTGAGCACCGTGCAAAGTCTTGTAAAAAATTGGCACCAGCTTCACGAATGAAGCACGGCTTATTGTCGAAATGCGGCTTTCGCCTGAGCGCCGCGCACATTCGTCTTGAAAGTTTGCAGCAAGTTCACGGATAGACGGGGATTCCTTCTCGAAGTGTGGCTCTCGTTTCAGCGCCGTGCACATTCGTCACAAACGATTGCAGCATCTTCACTGGTTGAAAGGGGGGTCGTTTTCAACATTGCGCTCTCACCTTACAGCCGCGCACATTCGTCGTAAAAGTATGCGCTAGCTTCACTGATGGATGGCGGTTCATGTTCAACATGCGGACTCGTATCAGCGCAACGCGCATATGGTTTCCCCACGAAGTATACCATGATGGCGGGCAGCCCTTTTTCATAATAGAAATATCGCCTGAGGCTGCGTTAAGTTCGAGGGCCCGAAAGTTCAGCGCACGCAGCGCTGGACGGAGTCATGGAGGCTCTACAAGGAGCTACCGCTTGAGACTTCCTCGAAGTTCATGAGCACCGAGGCTGGCTCATGCCACAATTACACGGATGGGGGGCGGTCAATCTTCGAAAAGGGATATCGTTGGAAATCTCGTAGAATGGTATGCACATCTGGCTACGCGCCAAAGCATGAAAGGCCGTTCCTTTTCAAAGTGGTGCCCTCGCATAAATGACAGATCTAACTGTCCTGGTCTTTCAATGAGGGGCGCTTCTTGTAATGAAAAGGACGACTTGCAGGGGCGCGTGAGGAAGGGAATTGAGACGAAAAGGTGCCCAGCAGCATCGCTTACGCACCTTCGGTTTACGGTGGTCCGCCTCCTCTTCCTCCTCTTCCCTCTTCCTCCTGCTCATTCTCATCCTCCCGCCCCCGCCTCACCCGAATCGGCCTCCTCATCCTGCGCCTCCTTCTCCTCTTCCCTTCGCCCCCGCCTCCGCCTCCCCCGCCTCTGCCTCCGCACCCGCCTCCTCCCTCCCGTTGCCCCCCTCCGCGCCCGGCCTCCCTCCGCGCACTGAGGCCCGCGCTCATGCCGGCGCGGCGGAGGGGGGGAGCGCGCGCACGGGGCGCTCAGGGCATCCCCAAGCAGGCTCAAGCCGAGGAGGGCCCCAGGGCGAAGGGGACCGCTTGGAGGAGGACGACGACCACGAGGAAAGGGGGGGGGGGGGACGCTGACCCAAGGCGAGATGGGTCTTCCGAAGGCCATGCCTACCCAAGCCGCCGCTATGACCCTGCTCGGTGGTCAGGTGGGGCCAGTTATTATGGCAGCAGGACGAGCAAGGATCGGGGTGCCAAGTTGACGGGGACGGAGGAAAAGCAGGAGGAGTAAGAGGAGACGGAGGCGGCGGGGCCACAGCAGGCAAGCCTGTATCCCCATCGACAGAAACCTCGCTCCCGCAACGAGACCGATTTGGAGCGCGACTCAAGGAGCCCAGTTCCAGGTCTTGGGCTTCCAGCTTCACTAAAAATGGGCGAGACTGTGCATGCCGACGGTTATGGCAGGCTGCTAGATTCGCGGGAATGTTGGCTCTCGCTTCCAGACATCGGTGAACAGTTCCTGCAGGTACCAGAGGGCGGTTAGTTCCCAGGTTCCCAACGCAGAGAGCACAGAGAGCGCAGAACAGCATGGCGCGGAGCGTAGAGAATCGAGGACTTATCTGCCATGGTAGAGAGTACGTCGTTCAATAAATAAAGATTACAAAGAAAATTGCACGATGCAAAGAAAGGAAAGCACAGATAATCGCATCCATCATCCCTTGTTTTCGCCAACCACCAGAACTGTGTTTCCATCTACGTACGAAAAACTGGCCGGGCTTTTGTTTTTCATGGGTGTAATACACCTCTTAGACCACCCTTCGGATGAAGAGGCTGGGCGGGATACATATTCATTTGATTTGCGTGTCGATTGTAATTCCATGTGCACGGCAAGTGGTTCTCATGTATGTGTGCGCATCGACACGCATGTCGACTGCATTCTGGTACTACATGCCGATGTACATTTATATGTGCATGTCGGTCCAGATTACGCGTGCATTGGCTGTGCAGTTCGATTGCATGTCGATTTCATGTTCTAATTACATGTGGAAGTACAGCTTGGTTTGCGAATATATGTGAGATTCCGTGTTCGTACCGGTGTTACGTTCAACGTGAATTCAGAGCTGCATGTCAATTTCCATGCCGTGTTGCGCTTCGACTTACCTTCCGGCGTGCTTTCCGATTTGCATGCAGATGTACACTTCGTTTCACAATTCAACTCGCATGTATATGCGCATACCATTTGCAAGTATATGTGCAGGTCGATATGCATGTCCTTCCCCACGGGACAACCACAGGACACCCACGGGACTATTTGAAGAGGGCTGGGAGGCCCAAACATGCGCTTCGCCCAAGGCGAAGCCCATACCCGACTCTGTTGTACCGTAGTAGCGATAGTCCCAGAATTAGGAGATCGTCGCGGGAGCGACGGGCCATGTCAAGCGAAGATGGTTTCGGCCCCACTGGCGAGCAGTGCGCCTCGCTATGAGGCGCAATCATATATTGGCGGAAACGGCCGCGGGCAAACGCTCGCTATCTCTCGCCTTTGCCCCGGCCCCCCTTAGGGTCGGGGAGGGGGGGGGGGGGGGGGGCGGGGCGAAGCGTGAGTCCGCCGCTAGCTATACAGCAAAATACTCCATACGCAAAGCAAGCAGCAGCAGGCGGGCTCAACGAGGCAGGTTGGCCCGCGCGCAAGTCCCCTTGCAAGCAAGTGCCTCGCAGGCAAGTTGCCTTGCAGATGGCAACTCCTCGGGCGGCTCAGACGACCTTGTCTGCCCAGCCCTGTCTGAAGTGCGTCGTTTTAAGTCACGATTGAAGGATTGCGCCCCCCCCATGACATCTAAAAGCATGTCTCTATCGATGCCCCCTTTGGCGCGGCCGTCCGCGGCCGCGTCGCGAGCGTCACACCACCGCGCACAATGCGCGACACCTCGCCCCATCATCTGTCGCGCCAAACTCATGCGCCCGAGAAGCGCGCGCTCAGTCGTCTTCTTCAGGTCTTTGCGCGACAAGGACTTGAAGACATATTCAGAATTGATGGTCAACGTGACCTCAATGCTCAGGCCACCCATCTCAAGCATGCCTTGGAAATGCGCGGGTGTCAGCGGCCCTGCGCGAAGTTCGCGCAGAGTAACGATCGTGGGATAGCAGTACTCCATGTTATGGGCTGCTGCGAGTGTTTCTGCTAAGTAGCTTGAGCGGACCTGCAAGCGATGCGACTTGAAGTGCGCGTCGACAAGATGGACGACCGGCGTGCCAGCACGCGCGCGTCCACGACGGAGCAGGCATGCCCCGCGAATGCACTGGCCTTTGACCAAGCCATCAGCATCTCTGCTCAGACGTGGGTAACCGGAGTCGCTGTGCAGGTCGACCTCGCCCGCCGAAGTCATCACTTGATAGGTGATCTTCTTAAGGCAGGCCTGCAATTTCCCGGCAATCGCGCTCAGTCGTCGCACCTAGATGATGATATTTGTTTGGGCGCGGTGTAGAGATGCAACATACGCCAGTAACCACGCTTGCGTGATAAGGGCGTAAGCCAAAGCGCCTCTGAGGCTGACAAACATATCAGTGACCATCTTCGGTACCTCGGCCTCAGCGTCTGCGCCCGTGAGCTCATGGTGCTGGATAGGACGCAGCTCGTTTACATTTCGTCTTGGTCAAGCGCACACTCACCGTCGCCATCCTTCGCGTATCCCACAGCACCTATAGCACACGTGTGTTCATCGAGCTCACATCTGCAAAGAAAAATCCTCAACGCACTTGACACGCACCAGTCGATGGTGCCCTCAGTGCCGGCCATGTTATGTCATCAACATGCTTGGCTATACAAGGGTTAGGGCTTGTCTCGAACTCCTCGTCGTAGGACGTGGGTTTGAGACCAAACCCGCCTGTGGCCTGTTTGAGCTGCAGTGAGAAGGCTCTTGCTGCACCAGTGGTGCCAGCACCTGGTTTGAGGCGCTGCAAGCAGCGATTCGACTCGTCGAAATGTTCCACCCCTGAGATGGACCCGAGCGCAAATTCTGATCCCGGTGGTTCGAATAGGACTACTTTTGACATGTCTGCCGCGAAGCAGAGTTCTACATATTGCCCGTGCTCGCTATCAGAGTCAAATCCAGAACTGTTGTCTTTGTCCGTGGAGCATAGCGGGACATGATATGCCTCCGCTGCGTCGATGTCATGTGGGTTGCCCCACGTTGGAAGATGCACCCGCTGTTCTTCAGCTACTGTGACCAGCGCAATGTTGTCGGTGATCAGATGTAAGTACAGCGCAGAGGTCGTCTATTGGAGTTGCCTCCAATAGTTCCCTTTCGTCTTGCAACTCTGCGCATTGCACTTCCATTGTGTGCAAGTCGGGGGCCAACTCTGATTCCTCATAGATGGTGGGAAGCCGTCCGTCTTCCTGCGGTGGCTCGATTTCTGGGACTTCCCTGTCGCCGTCGTCTTGAATTGGTACGTGGGCCAGTTCTTCGAACTTCGTCATGCCTTGGTCGGAGCCCGCCTGAAGTTTGGTGGACTTCAGGCGCTGGATGATCCCAGAATGTGCTGCTCCAATTATACCATGTATGTTTAGGGCAGCGCCTTCGGCTTCGTAGTACGTAGTAATGAAAGCCTGGGCCCACGTCATTGTCATAGTGTACCAATGCACAGCTGTCAGCGTAAGTCACCGGAGGTAACATGTGAATATCGGCAGCCACCTTGGCGAAAAAAAACGCTTTCGATGCGAGGGAAGTTCCTGCTGAGGTGCTGAAGAGCTAAATGCATTTTAGGAGATAACCGGCTTGCACTCGTCATCTGGAGCACTCACCATTTAGTCGGGAAATGAACAAATGTCATAGCAGGTCGCCCAGCAAGTAGACTGGCCACGAATGCCAACACAGTCCGTAATGCTGCGTTGTCCGAGCCAATCTCTCGAGCGATCAGGGCATCAATATATAGTGAATGTCGTGCGTCGCCGCGCTGGACTGTACATCGCGGTTCCCCACTCCCACGATGACTTGACCCCTGTCGGGATCATTCCGCACGACCGGGAAGAGTCCATTCCAGCCACCCCAGTCGTCCTTCGTAGTCGCGGGACGATGATAGTGAACCAGATCTCCTTCGTCATAATAAAGCTGACCAGGGAAAAAATAATATGATAGTAGTCTTGGTCCGTAGTGCACCGTTCGTTTTTGCTCCTGCAGTGGCTTGAGTAATAGCCTCGATGCTTACCCGGAGGATAATATGTCATCGGGAGTGGTCGGATATTTCTGTCTGCTGTTCGCGGCCCAGAACAGGCAAGTCGGGTAGCATCGCCAGCTGCCTGCCGAACAGTGCGTTGCACGGAGGCACCTCGCTGCAAAAGGTAAACGCACTGGCGGCAAACAAGGCTTCGTGCAGTAGACGGGTGAAAACAAGAGGTATGTCTAACCTGTTGAGCTCAGCCTCCACGACGTGAAGCAGGTGTCGCGTAGCGTGCCATTTCTGGCTTCAATGGTCGTCGCGCGTTGTCCACGCGCACGCATCCTCAGCTCAGCGACTTTTGCCTTAAGGATGCTCTTCGCGGTGTCTGCGTTGAGCGCACCTTCCCCGTCGGAGTGAAGTGTTTTGGCGGGTCCGAATTGCATCCAGCACTGGTAATGAGCATCTAAGATGCTGGCCATGGTCTTATCTGGTATCTCGACTCCAGCACCATATCGAATACAACAATCGATTATATGAAATAGCTTGTGCTCATGTTTAGAGAACATCAGTTCGCTTGCGACTCCATCGTTAAGCTTGCCAGGTAGCGCAGTAGACGTCATGACGGAATGCCCCGGCTTGTCCCAAGCCCTGCACTCGCGACGTGTATCACAGACGCCTTTTATCACGTTTAGCCTGACGCTGTCCAGACCAGCCATGGTTAAGATGAGTCTCGTCTTAGGCTCGTTGGCGTGGAACCACCGCAAGTGTAGTTTCCGCAGCTTGCGCGTTACCACGCCTGGGCAAAGGCTGCGCAAGTTCTGTAGACTAATTCGCACATCGAACCTTGACCATTCTGGAAGCCTTGGACGAGCAGCAGGGTCACCCGCAGTTGTTGGT